TTTTGAGACAGGGTCTCACTATGCAGTTCAGGCTGGCTTCAAACTCGCAACAATCCTCCTGCCTCAGCCTCCTGAGTGCTGGGATTCCAAGCGTGTGCTACCACACTTGACTCATCGTTCGTTCTTCATTCCAGCCTCAGTTTACAGAGATGACGCCGGCCCTGTTCCTAAGGACAGAGAACAGTTAGACTCAAACTCCAGCGTCTGGGCTTGCTGTCCCCATCTTTTCCTTCAAACCCACAAGCATTGAGTGAGCATGCAGCTACAAGGCCCTGTCAAATCCTGGCCTGGAAAGGACAGTCCCCAAGGTGCTTGCAGGGTGTCAGTGGGAACCATCTGACAGAAAAGGCTTTTGTGCAGGCCCAGGGTGGGGAAGAGCTTTGAAGTTTCTTTTGTCTGCTTGTTTTCATAGCCCTGATCCTGTACTGGAATGAACCTGCAGCCCTGCCTATCCCTGGAGATTTGTTCCCTAAGTAGAAAAGTCTTAGAAAAATATGGCAAGCTCCACCCACCACCCCCACGCCAAGGCCTGCTTGTTGCCTGGGCTGAACCGCTGGGCTGGGGAAGGTTTCAGAAGCCCCTGCAGGAGTTCTGTCCGTGTTTGGTTTCACAAGGGCCAGCTCAGAATCAAGAAGAACTGAATCCGAGGGCGGGCGCTGCAAGGTGAGGGCTCTGTGGGGCGGGGAGGACCATGTACGCTGAGGGGGATCAGCAAGACGCTCTCTCAAAGCCTCCCAAGCTGCCAGCCAGGCTCTGAACAGCAGGACTATGAGCTCGGGCCCAGAGAAAGCAGGCAGACCCAGCCTTTCTGGTCACTGTACTTTGCAAGCTCAAATATCAATCTCAGGATCCGTTTCTCTAGGCTCCAGGAAAGCTTTGCTCAATTCCAGTAGAAAGTCTGTGCTAAAGGGGGCTGGGAGGAAAGCAGAAGGAAGGGGAGGGAGAGAAGTGGGGAGGGAGAGAGCAAGAAGGGAGAGAAGGCAGTGGGGAGAGACAGGCTCTAGTTTTCAGAGTAATGACTCTGAGCAATGGTTCCATCTTGTGGTTGTAAAAAGAAATTACAACCAGGTCTGCACCCAAGTGAGCGGTGTCCATGCTGTCTCCAAGAAGGCAGCCATGGTTCAATTTCTACTCCCCGCGATACCTTTTCCCCCTCACCTATCCCCCAAACTGCATCCGTGTCCACATACCTTTGGAGTGAGTCCACAAGTTGTGAACTGAAGTACTTACTGCTTGGTACCTAACTCAACCCTAACTTTAGATTCATTCACTCACTCAGTAAATATTTACCGGGCTCTTATTATGTGTTGGACATTGTCCTAAGACCCAGGGACCTGACTGTACACAAAAATATCTCCATTCTTGCACCTTAATGTTTTTAGCTAGGGAGATATACATCAGACACATAATTATGAAATCTAATAGGAAGTAGTAATAAGTGCAGTGAAGGAAGGTAAAGCTGGGGAATCCAGGCTGTTTCAGATGGAGTGCTTGGTCGGGCTCGCTTTGGATAAGCAGGGGGACTTGTGCAGAGGCCTGTGCTAAGCCTGGGAGGGCGCCAAGGCATCGGCTGGGGAGGAGGGAGCTGCTCAGAATCCTGGCCATTCAGGGTCTTTATGAGCTGTGACTCCAGGGTGAGCAGCTACAGGAGATGACACACATGGGGTCATCTAAGGCTCTAGGGGCTGTTCCTGCCACTTACCTCTTCTCTGTCTTTAGCATCCAACCCGCGATCAATGAGGAGGTCATTTTGGATTCGGGAACTTTGGTTCCCAGCCATTCTTCTGACTACAGAAGCTAGCATGGAAATCAGACACATTTCACTGTCTGGGCCAGCATATTCTCTTTTTTTAATTTTTAAAAAAATTTATTTTACTTTTACTTTTTTTCATTTTTTCCCCCTCAAGCTATTGGTCTCTCTTCTGTGTCCTGTGGTGATCCCGCAAACCTGTCTCTGCTTGTTCTGAAGACCCCAGATCTCCAAAAGGAGGTCTCCATCAAGACATCAAGGTTAAAATCTTTTAAAAAGTAAATAAAAATGTCCGGTTCTTTCAAAATCTCATGTCAGGTAGTTAGTAGCCAGAGTCTGCACTGGGCAGCCCCCCACCCTGTGCTCAGCAGGTTCCAGAATTCCCCAGCAGCTCTGGGGTGACCAGGGGTGGCGGGAGACTGGCTTCAACAGGTTACCCTAGTCAGGAGGTCAGAAATGCCTGCAGCAAGAGTCTCAGGACTTGCAGCCCTTTCTTCTCTGACTGTCAGGCATGCCCACTTCATATCTGGGCGCCCGGCCTGCTGAGTGGGCTGGGTCTTTTACCCGGGAGCACTTCGTAAGCTTGATTGCCAGACCTACCAGTATGAAAACCAAACAAGTAAGTACCCAGAAAATATAAAACCATTTGGATGTTAGATAACATCTTCACGATGGCTCTAGTCTTTTCCTTCTTTGTGGTTTTAGCAACTGCTTACTTTGGGTGCGTTCTTGACAGTTAGTGGCGTTAGCAGGTCCACACAGAGGAAGTCATCTGAAGAGAAACTATAACTTGTTCTTTGTCACATTCTTTTTTGCGGCTGGGGAGGGGTACCCGGAATCGAACTCAAGACCTCATTCTTGCCAAGCAGGTGCTGCACCGCTAAACTATCTCCTCAGCTCTTTTTTCTTTTGTCTTTTTGAGACAGGATTTCACTATGCAGTTCAAGCTGGCCTTGAATTTACTTTGCAGCCCAGGCTGGCCTCCAACTCTCGGCAATCCTCCTGCCTCAGCCTCCTGAGTGCTGGGATTGCAGGTGTGTACCACCACACCTGGCTCTTTGTCATATTCTGTATGTTACACAGCTTGAGTTGACAGAAGCTGCAAGCTCTGTGCATGCCCTGTCCCCTGCCTGGGTAAGACTGCTCCTGCACATGCTGTGTTTTCATGCCTGGGTCTGGTGCAAGGCGGTGATGGAAGCTTCACTTTCTGGCTGAACCTGTGCCTTGCCCTGTGTGCAAGAAAGGAAGGTCAGCCACTGCTGCCTTGAAGCTAATCCTGCTGGGTGCACCGGAATCAGAAACCACAGTGGAACTTGCTTGAAGTCAAACCACTGGCAACCAGAGCAAAGAATTATTTATCCGTGTTCTCCCTGCCACAAGAAATGGGCCAGTCACAGCCACCTGACCAGAGATAGTGCCAGTGGCATTTGCCTCTGTGAATTTTCATTTTTAGCAAGGAAAGGCCTGGGAGAGTGGTGGTAGTGTGAGACTGGCACTGCTGGCGGGGCTTAGGGCCAGGACACTTGGGTGTTACCTGTCAGGGAGTAAATTGTTGTAACGTTTCAGGAGGCCAGTTTGGCTGTATGTCCCGCTCAGGGCGATCTTATTTACTGTTCATTAATTACTTTGAATATCTGAGGTTAGCCTTTTGCACCCTGGAAATTCTTGCTTTGAAGAATGAATAATATAGTCACCCAAGCTTTGGGGTGCTTTCAGGGTGTGAATCGTAAGAATGTACAAAGATACACTTTAGGGATGTTTTCCACAGGGCTGCTGGGCTTTAAAAAATTAGAAACAAACTTGTGTGTTCAACAACGGGTTAACTAAATTGTTTGAATGAATGATGGGCAGCACTCCCACGGGAGATTCCCCTTTCTTCTTCGACTCTTTCTCATTGTTCTCTTACTGCTGCCCGGTTTCACCTTCTAATCCAGTCTTCTTTGACTGCAACATAAACCCAACCAGGCACGCACATCCCGAAAGCGTGGATCTGAGCACAGGGTTTCTGGAGGCAAATACAAAACCACAGTGTTCACGTGGAGGTTAATGGTCACAACCCTTGTACTTTGCTGAACTTGGACCCTGGGACACAAATAAATTTTCTCTTTTTATTTTAAGAAAGTGAATCAGGGGGCTGGGGATTTAGCTCAGCGGCACAGCGCCTGCCCGGCAAGCGCAAGGCCGTGAGTTCGATTCCCGGTACCAGAAAAAAAAAAAACCAAAAAACAAACAAAAAAACCAAAAAGAGAGTGAATCATATTGACTTCTTTTCTTCTTCTTTTTTTTTTTTTTACAGGGTCCATCATGTTGCCCAGGCTGGACTCATCCCTCCCCTGTTTCAGCATCTTGAGGAGCAGGGGTTATGGCCCTGTGCTACCACACCAGGTAGCATGTGGATTTCTTACTGATATTGGACTAGGCAGATCTCAAAATCCCTGAGATAATTAACTTATAAAAATGAAAGGTTTATATTGGCTCACAGGTTTAAAGGCTGCAGTGCATGATAGATTTTCCCCTTGCTTGTGGGTCTGTGGTGCAGCCGTGTGGCATGGTGAGGGTGGGTGGTGGAGGAAGACTGTTTACCTTATGGACAGAAAGCAAACGAAAGAGAAAAAGGAGCCAGAAGCCTGCAGTTCCCTTCCGAGGCCCCCGAGGGCCCCATTTCAAAGTTCCACCACTGCCCCCCAGCATCCCCGAGCCTTTAACACAGGGGCCGTTGGGGGGACATTCAGCACCGGAACTATAGCAGCAGGCGATGCTTGGCAAATGTTAGTGAGCACCAGAATAACTTGGGGGTTGGGGTGGAGGCTTGTTAATTAGGCAGTTTCTGGACCTCCTTCTCCAGAGGCTCAGAGTTGGAAGATTTCTGGGGTGGGCTTGGGAATCTGCATTGTAATAACCATGCCTTTCTCCACTCAGCAGTTTGGATCCAGACTGTCTTCTGGCCTCTCTGTTGGCAGACACTGGCCTCTGCCTCAGCCAGAATCAGAGGTACTGGACCTGAAGGGCTGTCAGTCTCCAGGCATTCCTCTTGGGCAGACATCAAATGAAGTCCTGGGCTTTCAACACGGGCCTGAGTAGACATCAATCTTCATCGAGGCTTGAAGTCCTGGCAAAGACGATCCCTCCAGAGAGAAAGGTCAGGCAGGCTCCAGCCCAACTATTTTAAAACTTGTCCCCTCTCTTTAATGTTGAGTTAGATAAGAAATTCTGAGCTGTCTTTAGTTATAGGGGTGGCAGGGAGGGGAGATGGGTTAATCAGCTAACAAGCTACAGATCATCAACAAAACAGGGGTCTTAAAACCTTAAGTCTAAACCTATGGCATCGCAACATCCTGTTTACCACCCCAACCAGTTGGAAGCTACAGTCCCGTCCTAAACCTGTCCTCTGCTTATCCTGCTCCTCTCCCCTAGAGTCAGTGCAGGGTCAGTGTGAACAAGTCAGGCCTTCCTTCCCCAGCTTTCATTACAAAAAAGAAAAGAAATGCCCTTAGCTCTGGTTTGGTGAACATTTTCCAGCTGCTAGCCAGCCCTGCTGCTGGTAGTTGTGGAAAATTGTCCTAGTCCTGGTCCTTTTCCTACTGGCTCATAAACACAAAACAGCTCCACTACTACAGAAATGTAACACTGTAACAGGAGTGTAACACTGTAACAGGAATGTAACCCTGTAATAGGAATGTAACCCTGCAACAGGACTGTAACATTGTAACAGGAGTATAACACTGTAAAAGAAATATAACAGGGTAACAGGGGTGTAACACTATAACAGGAATTTACCATTGCTACAGGAGTATAACACTGTAACAGGAGTGTAACACTGCAACAGGAATGTAACACTGTAAGAGAGGTGAAACATTGCTATAGGAGTGTAACACCAACAGGAGTGTCACACTGTAATAGGAGTATAACACTGTAACAGGAATGTAACACTGTAACAGGAATGTAACCCTGTAACAGGAGTGTAACACTACTACAGGAGTGTTATACTGTAATAGGAGTATAACACTGTCACAGGAGTGTAACACTGCAACAGGAATATAACATTGTAACAGGCGTGTAGAACTGTAACAGCAGTGTAACACTGTAACAGGAGTGTGACACAACAGGAGTGTGACACTGTAACAGGAGTGTAACACTGCAACAGGAGTGTAACACTGTAAGAGGAATGTAACACTGTAACAGGAGTGTAACACTGCAATGGGAGTGTAACACTGTAACAGGAGTGACACTGTAACAAGAGTGTAACGCTAACAGGAATATAACACTGTAATAGGAGTGTAACACTGTAATAGGAGTGTAATACTGCTAAAGGAATATAACAGGAGTGTAACACTGTAACAGCTCCACAAACACAAAATCCCTTCGTTCCTGGCATTTTGGGTTGACAGACCAGCTGGAGAGCTGATCTAGGTTGGGTGGAGAGTGCTGCTTTTGCCCATGGAAAGCTAGAAGAAAGAGCCGACGCTTGCTGCAGATACACAGGGCTGGAGCCTGACCCTGGCGCAGTAACAGTGGCAGCAGTTTTGGGAGTCATGAAATGCCGCCCCCAGGCCTTCAAGCCAGCAGCTTGAGTAGACCCCTTCCTGCCAGGGGCCACACTCAGGCATTGCTTGCACTGTCAACTTGGCCGACTGTGGAGAGGAATTAGCACTGGACATCTTTGGCAGGTCTGTTGACATGACACTTGTCGGCACTACCCCTGTGGGACAGACATCTTGGCCAGTGTCACTCTGGAATCACTAGTTGTTGGGGCATGTTGGCTGCAATACTGGGGACAGAGCTAAATTGTTGTTTTTTGAGCCTGATGCAATGAAAGGCAAACATTTAGAGCCAAGAGCAGTGCAGGGGCTGGTGGTACAGGGGGAGCCCAGGACTCCCGCTTGTGATTGATGGAGTTGGAGGAGAGGTAGGGGGTCATTCAGTCAGTAAGCCTGGCTCTGTGGCCTTGGGGCTACATAAAGAGAGGGTGCCTGGCTTCGCGGAGTTTTGTCTGTGTATGTAAATAACTGCAGATGTGTGCAAACTGAAATATTTGTTGGGTTGCCAGGGACACAAAGGGAGGGAAACAGACCTGACTTTGGTAGTCCAGGAGCACTTCACAGAGGAAGGGACATTCACACTGGGTATGTGGGATTGAAAAGTTAGGAGAAGGCCTTCTTGACAAAGGAATCAGGGAGGGCAAAGGCCTGGAGACGGGTGCTGGGGGTCTCACACGTGGCTTTGAGGACTCTGCAAATGTGCATGTGAGGTGCTTGGCTCAGAGCATGGCACTGACCAGGCTTGTTGGAGAACTGCGGTGAGTTCTGTGCAACTGGGGCCCAAGAAAGACCCGCTGACAAGAAGGTGGGTGTCCCAGAGCCAGGTCTTTTATGTCAGGCTAGTTTTGGTGGTGGCAGGCCAGGGGTAAGTTTAGCAGGGCCTGCCTTTGACTTGTTTCTTGGGAAGATTAGTAGTAGCTGCATGGAGAGGCCAGGGCTGAAATCAGGGTACTGGTCAGGAGTGTGAGCAGCTGGACAAAGTCAAGGGAGTTCAAACAGGGCCGTGTGATGTCTACAGGGCATGTGGTGCTGATAGCCTGGAGAAACATGAGCAGAAAGGTGCTCCAAGCTCTGCAGAGATAAAGGCAAAGACATCTGTACATCATCTACAGAGCCAGAAAATGCAAAATGCAATCAAGGAATGGAGCCCCAGGCTGGAATCTGACTTGACAGTTTAGGTAAAGATCTGACATCAAAGAAGGTAAGCCACTGCATTGACTTACAAGGCCCCTCAATGCAAGGTAGGTACGCGGGAGGGGGCTTTCAGCAGGACCCACTTGAAGCTGGTCAGAACCTGGCTAAAATCTGCTGCAAAGACTGCTGGGAAGTAAAATTTCCATAAGCAGAGTGTATTCACCCTTGATTGTATGGTGAGGACATAAAGCCGAGCTTCTATGATCATGCGTCTTTTCCCTGGAAATGCAGACTTAGCAGACCCGGCTGGAGCTCAGGGAGCTGTGTAGTGAAACCCAAGCAGTTCTTTCTGAGAAATCTGGCAAACTCCAGCCTCTGGGAAAACCTCTCTAGATCAAGAAGAACCTGAAACTAAGTACTATGGACAAATGAGTTTTTAAAATGTGAACAGTATTAGCTCTTTTAAGAATACTTCGTGGGTACTTGGCATCTTAGGTACTTGTAAATTTGACAGAATTTGATAGAAGGAACAGGTGACACTCATAATTTAAAAGTAGAAGTATAATTGAATAATGAATTAGGTTTGTGATTTTAAGTTGAAAGTTTCACAAATTTATGTGTGGTATTGAAAGAGTTAGCATTTAAGTTACTATATTTATCATTTTAATGTGTTTATATACTTCAAATTACTGGGAAGATTTTATAGGACATTTGTATTTAAAGAAGACATTGGATATATTAAATTTATATGTGTAATTTAAATATTTGAGTGTATTTAATTAAGCTTATAAATGGGGACAAATATTAAGCAAAGTTATCCCTAAAGATGTTTGCTATAATTTGATAAAGTTATATAGAGAGGGGGAAAATATAAAAAACAATTTAAGAGCTTAAAGGAATCTCGTTTTTCTCTCCTGATTTGCAGTGCTGGGAAATAAACCCAGGGCCTGGAGCCTCCTATGCAGGCACTCTAGCATTAAGCTACGCCCCCTGGCCCCTTAAAGGAAAGCTTTTGGCAGACAAATGCGTAGACTAAAAGTAGTATATACATATAAGGGAAGTCCTGACACAGACTCTGATACAGATAAACATGGAGGACATTATGCTAAGCAAAGCAAATCAGTCATAGAAAGACCAATGTTGTTTGAAGTAACCAGAGTAGTCAGATTCATAGAGACAAAAAGTGGAATGGTGGTTAGCCAGAGGTCAGGGAGAGGAAGAATGGGGGAGAGTATTTCATGGGCACAGACTTAGTCTGCAGGTGAACACGTCTGTGGATGGACAGTGGTGACACTACCACGGCCATGGGAATGGACGTAAGGCCACGGCACAACATGCCGCTTGAAATGACAGAGACGGTCTTCACTGTGTCCATCACCTCTCTCCGTCCACATGCCGCTGCTCTGCCCTCAGCGCTACAAGAGCTGCACCTACCGAAAATGTTGCCCAACAGAGTGTCTCACAGCGATTATTGTGAGGCAGCCAACAACTTCATGTCAGGTCAACACTTCTTCACATTCAATCTTTTGGTTGGAGAAAAAAAGTCAAAGGAAGTTTTAAAAAATTGGTAATGCTTTGCTGGGCGTGGTGGTGCATGCCTATAACCCCAGCACTCAGGAGGCTGAGGCAGGAGGATCGTTGTGAGTTTGAGACCAGCCTGGGCTACAAAGTGAGCTCAAGGCCAGCCTGAACTGCATAGTGAGACCCAGTCTCAAAAAAAGACAAAAAAAATTGATAATGCTAAAGTTATATCGATTTTTTATTTTATTTATTTATTTAGTACTAGGAATTTATTTTTTTAGTACTGGGAATTGAACTCATGACCTCAGGTTTGCCAAGCAAGTGCTTATGCCACTGAGCTATACCCCCAGCCCTATAATGATTTTTTAAAAACCAGAATTATTTTAAACAATCTTCCATGCAGCAAAACCACCCACAGGACTCCTAAACTCTTGTTGAACATAGAGTATGATCATGGGTAAGTGAGAGCTCTGGGCCTCCAACGCAGGCGACTGCAGAATGGGTGGAGAGGCGAGGCTCACACACAGCAGTTGTCACCTACAGTAGAACAGTAGCACTGACGGAGCTCTGAGAGAGGAAGCAGACGGCTCCTGCCGCGGGGAGGAGGACTCTGCTTGTCTAAGTAGAAGCTGTCCATTTGGCAGCCAGCCTGACACTCAGGCACGGTGCTCAGAGCCACCACGGGGGAAGTACGGATTTGAGACAGTCAGGGGCAGGGTGCGCCGCAGAAGCCGTCTGTGTGTCTCAGAGAGGACTGGGAGAGGATGGGAGCAGGACGAGTGACCCCGACCAAGGACATAACTCGGAGGCGTGCAGACGCTTTCCGAGTGGACAGGGTGATGGAGTGTGAGATGGCAAGACTCACTCAGTAGCTTTTCAGGCCCAGAGTTCTCTGCATCCCACCACCATCTCTCTCACCCTCAGAGCTTTGCCACGCCTGGAGTTCTTCACTCCAGGAAAAGCTGTGGCTATGAGGCTTTGATGTCCTACTCCAGGCATTAGGCAAGGAGAGGCGACACAGAGCTGAAATCACACAGAGGGTGGAGGACTGTAGTGGGTCTCCTGTGAGCAGGTCCCTGTGGGAACGGAGGGCCCTCCCGAGGCCTGGATGAGAGCTGATGGGTGTGGAGGCGCCAAGGAGGTGCCGGGAGGGGGGACGGTCCAGAAGAGGGAGGCTGGAGGCTCAGGTGACTGCACATCCACCTTGTGTTCACCCAGGGGAGTTCCCAGCCTTAGCCCTTCTCCAGGGGTGGATGGCACGGTGCCCTGAGAAACACTAAAGGGAGGGGAACCTCTAGGCTCGTCTTCCTCTTTGCTTTCTGCCCCTGGAGAGGGCTGGCCGGGAGGGCCTGGGGCTGAAGGGGAAAACGTGACTCCATCAAGTTTGCCTTGGTCTTCGGTGGTTTTGACCTTTCATTACCCCCATCGTGGATTCCTCCAGCTGTGTTTGGACAGCCCTGCTCTCATTGGGTAACGAAAAGCAGGTGCATCAGGAGTTAATTGCACTTGAAGCCAGAGCTGCCCCAAAGGAGGAGGCATGGGGCAACTATGCAGGGGCTGCACAGGCCCCACATGCAGAGCCCAGCCTGCCACGAATGCTCTTGGAAGCCCAGGTGAGGTAGTCACAGCAGTGGGTGGCACTGTCTTATCACTAGTTCAGACCAGTATAGCGAGCCCTGCCCGGTCCTCCTCATGGCCCAGGAAGTTTGCATTTGTAAACCCATGAAGAGTTATTGGAATTCTAGTGAGTTAATTCCAGTCTACCACTTCCAGTGCAACCCATGGCGAGAATAAAGACGCTAAGGCCTATTTGTAGTTATGGGGAACCCAGGGGTCCTAAGTCCAGCCGTGATGATGGCCATCCAGAGCAAAGGCCTCGACCCAAGGCCAAACTCGGTTTTTATTCATTCATGAAGAAGGGAGTGGCTTGAGGATGAGTGGCTGTGAGGGTGGCGGGAAGTACGTGAGTGCCATGAGCTGGGCTAGGTAGGAGGCCTGAAGTCACCCCTGCCATATGCAGAGACAAGGATATGCAGCAAGAGTACTCTGCATGACACAACTGACATAGTATCTAATGTTTTGGGTCAGTGCTTCAGCTGTGACGAGTAATCTTTGAAGCCCCCAGAAAGTCATAGCCTCAATCGCAAGGCTCTGTCCCAGCCACAGCCTGAAGCTCTGGCTCACACATCCCGCCTCGGCCCAGCTTACACATGGGAACAATGGGGGGTGGGGAAGCACAACCTGCCACCTCCGAAGATCACCATCAGCACCAGGGCTGGACCGATCTGCATTGCTTAAGGCCAGTTGAAGGGATAAGGAAAAGTCCCAGCCAGCGCTGTACATATCAATACATGGAAATAGCCAAAATGGAGGCAATTGCTCCTCTTTCAAGGAGCGTCGCCCAGGTGGTCCTCCACAGACCGGGAAGGTTCACTTGAGATTTGGGCAGCCCAAGGAGGAGACCCAGAGCTGCTCATCCTTTGTGTGGCCTATCTCTCACAGGTCTCTCACAGGTCTTGCTCGTGTGGCTTGGCCTCCCCGGGGCCAGTGCCCAACCAGCCAACCCAGGGCCTTCCACATAGATGGCCGTAATATCGGGCCTCTAGGGGCTGCCCAACTGTCCGTGCGCATGCTCTCGAGTGACCATCACCCACGTGGCCCTCAGCTCTGCCCACTGACTGCTCTGTCTCGTACCAGTAACACACCACGTGGCGTCTGTTTCCCACTGCACAGCAGCCACCTATCATGCAGTGGCCCGCAGCTCGACCGTCCGTGTACCAGCACTTGCTGGTAGTGGTACTGGTGGTGTTCTGCTGGCCTCAAGACCGACTGTATGGTGCGGAAAGGGGACTTGCGGAGCACTGTTACTCTAAGCACGCTATTTGGCTTAAGTGACACCCACCTTGGGGACAGATATCTGTGAGTGTAGCCATTTCACCACTGGGTATGTGGTTAGCACCTTCACGGGGACCTCCCTGGTGACTGACTCACAAGCCTGCAAGGCCACATATATAGCTGCTAATGTTTCTCTGAGGGGACAGTGGACCTCCATCTCCCCCTTTCCTTGAGACAGGGTCTCCGTTTGTTGTGAACTGGCCTTGAGTTCACAACAATTCTCCTGCCTCAGCCTCCTGATTACTGGGATTACAATTATGTGCCACCACACCTGGCCTCCAGCTCCTTCTATAATTGTGACCAAAATCTCAAATGCATGCGTAGCCGTTCTGTGTCCTGTCACAGTCCCCAGCCGAAGCCTTTGGGGGTTGCATGTGCATCCAGTTCCCCGGGCCACCTGCAGGGCTTGGGCCCAAATATTGTACCCCCAAATACTTCCTTGGCATCTTCTGCCCAATTCCAGGCGGTGCCCTTCTAACTCTGTTTATACAAAGGTTTTGGGGTCTGGGCTAAATGAGAAATAAAAGCCCTCCAACATCCAGGAGCCCTAGAATACTCTACAACTCTTCACTGGGGTATGGTGAGGATACTTCTGCATCTTTTCTATAACAGCCTCTGCCTCACCTGATCTGACAGCTCCCCAAAATTTAACAGAAAGCCCAGGTTCTTGGACCTTGGCCTTGCTGATGGCCCATCCACTACTGTTCTTCCACTGGTAGCTCGTTCTAGACCTGTAAGAGAATCAGAGCTTAACATACTCTCAGCAGTGTACTGACCAGACATCCCGAAAACCTGACTCTGCGGCCAAGTCCTTTGCCACCAGCCTGCAGCAAACAGTCGGGCTGTGTGTGTAACTGTGGCAACACAGTGACTGTCCATTGCCTTTCCTCTTACGTGGAGGCAAACCGCTCTTGACCTTCAGCAACCATGTCTGTAGAGAACAGCACTGTTTACAGTCTGAACCCGTGGAGGATGTCTGCCCCAGGATGCACTCAGGTAGGAGGGAAATGTGCACGGTACAGGCTTGAGGAGGCAGAGGCTCTACACCCAGGGGCAGAGGCAAAGTCACAGTCACTGGCCTTACTTTGATGGTACATCCTCCAGAACCATTATGCAGGCCACCATCTCCAAGAATTTATCAGCCTTGCCATAAGTCAGGGTACAGTCTGTCTCTACGTCCACTAACGTGAGCACATGATGCACATTTGTGGGGGGCCAATAAATGGCAAGTCCAACATGAGGCCTCCCGTCTCCCGGTGTTTCCTCTCACCAAGAACCTGGGCTCTACCCCTAGACAAAATTAGACACCTGCATGGCATCTGTTATGGTTTGGGGCTTATTGCGAGGGAAACAATATAATGCAGGACACATATTTTATAAGATTACTTGTAATAGTCACCCAAAGAATGATATACAAAAGAGTGCAGGAAATCTGTCCACACACTAAGACCGAGGAATCCAGCTGAGGGCCTGGATCCC